CTCTCTCTCTCTCCCTCCTGCACCCACACAGAGACCACAAACAACATGTTCTAAGAATCACACAGAAAAATCGATGAGACTATCCATTTATCAGCGTGGACGCCGCCTATAGCGGCGCATGTCATTCGGGGGAACATGGACACCGCGACAAGAGTGAAGGTTGCCTATGGTTGCCTCTGAGTTGCAAGGCCGTCAGCATTTGAAAGCGGACTTTGATGTTGTTCAGCTTCATCTTCGGCGAGATCTCCAGGAGCTCCTGCAGGAGATCATCCTCAGTGAAGCAGTGAAACGTGGGCAGAAACATAAGCAACGGACTGGCGAACCAAAGGACAAACCAGGATATGCAGGGATTGGAGATGATGACGAAGAAAACAGATAGGTTTTCTATACTTCATGAGAGTTGGAGCAAGCTGGAAGCTGCAAGCTGGTCCTTTGAATGTATCGCAGAGTATCAGAAAATCATGCAGGGGGACTGGAATCTATATATGCCGCCTATACCAGCTGCTTCCAAGGGGTCACCAATGGACAACCCTACCCTACTTATAGGTCTCCAGACAGTGCACCCAGACAGGAAGTGCTAGGTACATTGACCCCTAAAATCCACCACCTCTTGTGAGCCTTCCTCGGCCAGTCCCGCCAGTCCATGCCAGTCCCTGGTGAACCCCAAAAAGGGATCCCCTTTCGTACCGAAGCCTCCGGGTTCGGTAGGACTGGGTCCTCCTGATCACCGGCCCATTTTCAGTGTGTGCTTCCTCACCGTACCGACTGGACACGACTGGACCCCTCAACGACCAGCCAGAACTCTCGGGTTCGTGACCTGCGTGGTAACGTGGATTCCGACGATGGAAGACCGTCTCTCAGTGGGTCCCGCTGCTTTCGGCCGTGTGCCTCTCACGATCGAGCGTGGGTCCCGGTGCTTTCGTCCGGTCTCCGGTCATCCGATGCTGAAACCGCCGTCCGCTCAAGCCGGAAGAGCGGAACGGAGGAGCGGAACCTGACGACCCGGAGACCATCCTCCCAATATCCTCCCTTTAAACAATGGGGCAAACAAAACCACTAAATCGACAATTTTTCTGGATACACACGTGGTGTTTGAGTTGGTGTTTGGAGGTTTACAAAGCAAACCCACCATATCGCTTGATGGTAGACCACGAACAAGACCGGCCAAGCATCATAGACCTGTGCCAGGTGTGAGGTCGACCTTCGCGGCAACAGCACCAGGGCACTGCCATACCTCGACAGAAGATCGATCTCGGTGTGGTGGGGGATGGTGCGGGAAAACGAGGGAACGGTGCATGCAAAAGCAAAAACCGAACTCATGGGTTTGACTGATCCACTTTCTCTTGTATATCAGATGTATCAGTATATAGTGGGGTTGGCAGTGGTCTTAATGAACATGTGTAACTTCCAATCAATGCCAGCTGGGATCACCAGATTTGACCCTGACATCCCCGTGACATCCCGTGACCTATATAGCAGGAACAAGGCCTTCAATTCTGCTCATCTTTCCGGACTTAAGGTCTGCTACTGACTGCTACTGAACTCATTACTCCTCTGAACTCCTCCGACCCGATCTGGTTCCACTACTGAGCCAAGCAAGGCACGCATGGGCCAGCAAGCAAAGGGACCTCGCTCCCGAACTTCCACGCATGGACGCTCGCAGCTCCTGCCACGGACGTCCCGACACTATAGGCGTTTAAGGCGTCGCCGCAGCGCGCGGGATATCGCCGTACGCGGGGTCGCCACATCTTCAATGGCACAAGGCCACCACTGGGGAGGTTTTAACAATTGAAAGAATCACCATATTAGGCAGAACTGGCCATTGACCTGAACTATTTTTTTTCGCTTGGACTGCCCTTCAACCCTCATGCTCTAGACACAACTCTCTGTCTTCTCTCCATCCCCAACTCCATCTCCAACTCGACGGAGTCCTTGACCTCAGGTGCTAGCAACTCCAGTGGTGCAATGCCAGCCACCTGCAGCAGGTCCAGCTTCAGCACCGCGTGCGCGCAGAGCGACAGGTTCTGAGCTTCGCCTCGGTCCAAGACGTGGAGGGCATGCGGATGAAGTGGATGGCATGAGGTGAATGAATCTTCTTCAGGGGCCCTAGGGGTCTTGATCAGGAGGGGTACTCATGAACTGAACATAACACAGTTCACATGTAACACAACGTTCATTGAAGCGGAAGGGTGAACGATTATGACGTCTAGAAATACCAAACAGGGTGGTGTCAACGTGTCCATGGAACGTGAGGCAGAGTGGTTCACGAAGCAAATCCCTCAACTGGCGCCAAGGAGAATTCAAGTAAGACCCACTCCATGGGGAGTCTCTCTAATTCGAGCGATTCGAGCTCATGGTGCAAGCACTCGAGCGACAAAGGAAGGCTTCATCTCCATGACTACACCCATGAATGGGGGGGTGCTTGACGCAACCTTGATAATGAATCATTGTATATAGAAGAGTGCTCCTTAAGAAAGGCTTCTTGATGCTCTGGGTATAGTTATAGTTACCCGCCATGTTACTCCTTGGCAACACTTGGTGTTCGGTTCATCCCACTCACAGGGTCGTCTCCTCCAAAACTGCTGTGAACCAAAACCCCCTCACAGTCGCCATGCACACCCACTCCGCTCCGAGGGCGAACCGCCGCGCCTGCCAAGATCTGCCTCTTGAAGTGCACCTTCCTGAGCCGATCTTGACAATTGACCTTTTTGACAACACATAGGGGGGGTCTTCCCCCGAGTCCGATGGACTGTTCTGCATGTTTTGTCCTGTTTCTTCTTCCCTCTCTAGGTAGGTAGGTCGTTTTGAAGCAAGATTCCCCTTGACATTGTGGATGAGCTTCACCACTTTTTGTTCGAATAGAGAACCTGCATGCATCTTCCTCATGTTGAAAGGCACACACACACACTCTTTTACGGATCCCCCGCCCTTTCTATTCAAGGTACATTAAGCTTTGAGGGCACCGACAAATTTTGTTGAGACAGTATGTTGCTTGAGTCCATAGGGATATATGTGGCATGATCATAATGTAAACTGTCTGTTGATGGAAAGAGTCCAGAAAACAACAAGCAAATTCTCCTCTTACCCTGCATATCTCGTGGATCATCCTGAGAAAATACAGGTGGTCTGCGTTGCATCTGCATGTCAGGAATCACACTCCCTGGAATTCTCATGGTTTTGTGCATGGCACCACCGTCGTTTGGTCAGACCGGAAGACTCATGGTCCGAGTCCCAGGTTCCACCTCCATGAGGATGGGAGTGTAGACACAAAAGACTCTAAAACCATCGGTTCCGCTGGTTCCCCTCTGCCACCCAAACTTCCCCACCCCACCCGCCATCGTCACTTCCCAACCCCGCCCAGTGGCCCAGAGTTACTCACACCACGCGAACGGACGGCGCCGGACGGGTCGCCATTTCGTCGTCCCCCGGTGACGCACGGTCCACGTCCGCGCCGTTGGTCGCCGGTCGAGGGTCAAGAGCTCTTCGAGGGTCTTCAACTCCGTACGACAGCGCGCCCGCGCCAAGGCGCTCAGGAACATCCCCAGCCAATCGGCGCCTCAAAGATGTTCCAAAACACGAAGGAAGGCGCAAAAGGGAAGGGGAGGGAGATTCTGAGAGAGTTAGGCGGCTGCAGGCAAATTCCTTTTTGGAGTCCAGGGGTGTCTGTCTCTGTTTCTTTGTTTTCTGAGAAAGGATGCGATATGATGTGATGATGTGATGCTGAACGGGTCAGTTTAGGAGCCTGTGGCACCGGACCAGCTGCCACTTCCTAAAAATACCCAAAGCACGGCCCTCAAAAAATTAAGCACAACGCCGCCTTTCTCTACTTTCGCACGTCTTGGAGATGAAGGCTGTAGATGTGGCATGTAAAGGGTATATGTTGAAAAAGGCTTTTAGAAGGTAACCACCGTGATTGCAATTGTCCAAAACATGTTGTTTTTTATTGTGTTGCCATGTTCATAGTTTCAATACATGTATTCACTCAGTCCCAAAGATGCTCTATTTTCACATACAGTTGTCATTGATCACACCTTCATGCACAAATCCTTTTCCAGCAATACTCCCCCCCCAAACGCCCAGTCACACGGGACTTCCCGAGCTCCAAGTCGACGCTCTTTTCGCTTCGCCGCTTCGCTCCGCTCCGACGTTTCGCTCCGCTCCGACGCACCGCACCGTGTTCGCCGAGCGACGGAAGAACGGTTTCGTTCCATGGCTTTCATCTAGGAGCTCTTGCGCTCGGCCGAGCAGCTGAGTGAGCCTCGACCAAGGGGTCTGGCTCGAGGCGCGCGAGAAGGGGGCTGCTTGGCGGCAAGAGGTGGAGCTGGGTGGGAAAGAGTAACAGGTTTGAAGGTTGGGTCATGAGAATTGTATACCTGTATTCCCCAAACAGTGTGGTAATACTAGGGGTTCTTACGGCCTAGTGGTTATAGTTATAGTGATACACTCTTTGGGGTCTCTTGCCGGGATATAGTCATGTTGAGATGCGGGGGATTCCCGGATGATCGCAGCGGACACCTTCTGGATTCTGTTGTGACACCTGGTCGAAGCAGCCAGATAATACCATGGAGGAAAACCACTAAGCCACTATAATCACCATCTGGATGGCCGAATGACGTTTCATGCTACACTGTAATAATATAATATAGTACCGGTAATGTATAGACATGTATAGACTCTTGATTAATCAACCTCCCCTTTTGAATTGGAAAATCCTCTTCATACCTAGGTATTGGAAGGTTTATCAATCAAGAGTCTACGTTAATTATTTGTCCCCCGAGGTGATGTCCTTTCTTCAACAATTGAAGGGTCATTCTTCCTGGCTCACTGCTGTGAACGAAGAGGGACACAAACCAAGACCCAAGTCCTAGAAGTTCCCAAGATGTCCACAGAAGAACGAACGCCAGAACCACAAATACCAACTCCTCCCAAAACCTGTCAATATAAGTGGTAAACATAATTATGGCGGTTTGTCCACATTTCCACCAAACATATGGCGCGTTTCCACGTGTTTCCACCGCCCTCCTTTCATTCCCGGAAACCTTCACCACACCGTCTGGTCTCCCTCCGCTTCTCCCGTGCCACGCGACAGCCGTGCGTTGGCCTCTTCGCCGCCCAGGCCCGGCCCCAGGCGCGAGAGCGCCAGGGCCATGGACGCCAAGCCCCGAGGGCCCAAGCACGACAGGTTCGTTTGGGCCCAACGACCTCGGGACCCGCTACCCGTAGAGTGACTGGGGAGTGACTGGGTCGGTAGGTCGGTGGGTCGGATCGTATTGGGTGGTGTTCTTTCCCTTTTGGTCGGTGGATCGCCAAGGCACATGGGGGCGATCTGAAGGAAAGGATTGAAATCACACTATATCCTAAACCATCGCCCAGTTCTTCCAGATGCACGGACGCATCTAAACGATGTGGCACGATCTTTTTGGCGTGGACGTGGCGAAGAGGATGTGGCGAGGCCCGTATGGGGGAGAGATGTGGAGGTTGGGGTGCTGGGTGAAGTTGTTTGATGGATATTGGATTGGGTTGGATTGAATGCTGAACTGGATGATTGATTGGAGGATTGATTGAGAAATCGAGAAGCTCGTTGTGTGATTGTTTGAATGAGTGGTTGATGAATTGATTGGAACAGTGTTCTACTGGCATTAAAACCCTCCAAAACCCAGGTTCCTTTCATGGTACATACCGTATATACCGTCTCTTGTATTGATGCAACTGAGGTCGGCTTGCCCATTTCCAGATCGTTGGGGTTCCCCCAAGTGGATGTACAGGGGGGGTTGAAATGTATATATACCCTAAGGATCCATATACCCTCTGAGAAGGTACTTGGATCCCTAAAACATAAAATAGTCAAAGTTTCTAAAGAGTCCACTTTACAGCAGTCGAGCTTCAAATGGCGTCTCGAACCGTCTCCAAGATGTGCAAAGGCAATTGATAGCTCCGTGCACAAGCGCTGGCCACCGCCATGGCATGGTGTGGCAGCAAGGATCCTTGCACCGCAGAGGGATACCTTGCACAAACGCGGTGACGTGACGTGAAGGGAAACGACGCACTGTTGGGGATGGTGAACTGCAACCCCCAAAACATGAAACACATTCAGATGGTGCCCTTGATGATTGATTAGTTAAAGTGTTTTACGAAACACATGTAATTAATCACATTGTACATGCAACAGCTCTGGCATGTGGGACAAATGCAAAACATATCAAACAAATTATTCAACAAAAAGCAAACAGGCTTTCTGTGGAAAATGAGTCCTCTCGACGAGTCACTGCTCCCAAAATGGCGCCAAGACCTGCGAGAGAAACTCGGTGAGGAGTCTGCGATCCTCCAAATGCCATGCCAAGTATTGGCAAACCATTGGCAGTGTCCTTGCTTGCCAAGAGAGGTAACACGTGACCTGAACTAGGACCTGTCAAGCAAAAAAACAAATCCACACCATCCTTCCACCCAGCGTCTGAGGCCACAGTTTGAGCTCCAATACGAACTCTTCGGCAGCGAGCAAACTCCGCGCCACCTCCTCCGCCACCTCGCGGTGCTCCTGGAAGGTCCTGACGATGGCACCCCAAGGAAGAATCACACGTGAGGCATTTATGATACCCTACAAGTCAAAGACCTCATTTTACTGGGGATTGTCATACAAAACCAATACTAAAGGAGTTCAAAGACCAGGAGACTGCACCTGGGTCGTTGGACCTGATACCTCTTCAAGTTCCGGCCCTGTCGCTCCGACCATATCAGACCTCCCAAACCCCAACCATCTCTTCCTAGGGCTTTTGAGGCTACAAGCCCCTGTGACTACGAAGGTTTGAGGAACTCATATTCACCTCAAAGCCCCTTCGTCGACCAAAGAAAAACAGGTGGTCCGGAAATCCAACATCCAAAGGACTGCCCTGCCAAGTCATCCCCCCAACCCCAATTAGGATGGCCCCACACCCTACCCCCCACTTTCAGGCCAGCTCCGCCCGTACTCCGCCCCAAACCTCCCACCGAAACCGTCTCCCCCCGCCGTCCTGCAAGCGCCCAGGACGTGGAGGAAATCACAGACCTCCCGGCCGCCCAAACGCCTCACGCCGGAGTCGCGCACCGCGCCCCAGAGCTCCTGGGCCTCGTCGCCGCGCATGGCACGGCCGTGGCGGAGGAGGATGAAGTGGGCCTCGGTGCCAGCGCAGGAGGCGCGATCAGCAGGGTGCGATTCTTTGTGGGGCGAAACGGTGAAATGCCCAAGAAGTGCGGCTCTTGGTGTAAGTGATGAGCTGTATAAAGGTAGATTTGGAAGCATGACCATCAAGGGAGCGCCAACAAAAACAAGGACCCCGACGAAAAGGTGACTCATATGGCAGAAGGATTTCCCTTCAAGAACTGTGACCTCAAAAGGTTCCAGTTCGTTGTCCCTTCAGTAGTGCCTCAAGAAAAGCGCAAAAACATCACATGTCACTTGCCAGGACACTGAGAGCCTTTCTTGCAGCGAGCCTGTCCTTAGATCCCAGAACAAGCCAGCTGTCGCCATAATAAAAACCTGAACCTTCAATCGTAGCAGTTTTTTCTGGCGAACCAAGGAAACGAGCACTTTTTGGAGTTTCGTAGCGTTTTTTGATGAAACGAGCACTTTCTATTTCTTTTGATGAAACGAACATGTTTTCAAGATGTTGAACACTGAAGTCTTCTTGGGCCAAAGCTGGAAACCCGCAAAATGCGCGCAAAACACGCACAAATTGCCCCAAAATGAGTGCAAATTGAAAAGTGGCGAACCACCCCAACATGGGTTGGTTATAGAGGGATCCATGTGCGATTTTTGGGCACTTTTGCAAAACGAGCGCTCTTTTTTTGTAGCGAAGGAAGCTTCAGGAAGTGATACACACAGAGACAGAGAGAGAGAGAGACGTGGCTGGCGACCCAAATCACACCACCAAAGAACAAGCCAAACAAAACCTTGGTCTTCTTCTCAGTGTCTCCAGCCTCGCCATGGCTTGGGCACTCCCCACTTCCGAGAGCCACGGTCCACGGCCGACGGGCGCACCCGGCCGTCGGGCGCACCCGGGCGCGGCCGCGCGACGTGGCGGCGGCGCCTGGTCGGGCGCGACGGGGCTGCGGCCCTTGGGCATGGGCTTCCGAGCGGCATGGGCGATCCATGGCTCGAAGGCACGCAGCGCCAAGCGCAGCTGGGCCATGGAAGAACTGGCTTCTCAGGAGGATGAGTGGTGGACTGGGGCGGAAGTGTTGGGAGTGGAAAGAGGGTGAAGCGTTTGGAAAGGGGGGAGCTGGAATGTGTTAGGTTGATCATGTGATGGATTGGAAGTCCAAATTGCGTTGCAGGGTCCTGCAACCAAAGGGGCCTTCTGATGTTTCACACTGAGTCACCTGTCGTGTAGCACCCGGCTGACACTACGTAGATCAAATAGACACCCAAATGTTGTTTCGTGAAACTCAACTAAGTTCTTCTATAAATTCTGTCGCTTGATCCAATTTTTCCTCAGAGGCTAGAGAAGCTGTGGAGTCAGGGATTGCATGCCAACTGCTGTGCTTGTGTCTCCACACAAATCCGTGGTAAAGCCTGGACAGCTACACCCCTGTTGGATGGGCAACATGATGGTAAGAGGCGCAAGTCCTCACGCAACAAATCCTCCACTTGGTGATGCAAAAGTCACCCAGCTAGCGGCTAGTCGCTGGGTAGTTTTGGTCATTCCTCCGCTGCTCATGAATTGGCTGGGCAACACGCACTCAAGCACCCCCCCAAGATTGAGGAGATTGGAGGATGTTTGATGGAAACTCATGGCCATGCCTACAGCCCACTTTGTCTAGATTCTAGATGAGAACTGCTTCCTCCCTGAAAAACGGCTTTGAAAGCAAACCCACACGGCTCCTTTTGTGTAAACAAAAACATGAACTGCTCTTTACCAGGCATGCTCACAAAATATCAATGCATGATCAATGCATGTTGAAAACACTCATCACAGGTTTTGAGGGTCCAAACCCCTGCTATGCAGGGTCAAAACCCTCCAGTTCGGAGGCTCCAATGATTCTTAGGGTAACATATTCATTCACACCACCTCTGGCAGCACCGAATCACCGAATCACGTCCCTCGCGGTGCCGTCCCTCTCCTTGATACGCTGCCGATCCTGTCACTTCGATGCGGCGCGCCTAGCTAGCTAGGAGGATGATGGAGGATAGGGTCCCCCCCTAACTGTGCTGACTGGATGACATGAACGAGTCCATTTCCCCCAAGTCGATTCGTCGAACGGACCAGGTCGGACGTCGAACGGGTCGATTCCCCCCAATCAGATGCTCGGAGGGCGAGGGCGAAACACGTCTAAACCCGACAGGGCTCCGATCCCGTCTCCGAAACGGAGACCGGTGGGATTCGACCCCCCCAAGACCACCCACACCTGGCGCATCTTCGAAACGGAGGTGGGCCAGGAGCCTATAGGGAAATGCGTATCAAGGTAGGTCAACAAGCACCCCTTTGGGCTCCAAGTACCTCGGAAGGCGGAAGTTGGATCCTCCTGGCGCCCACCGAAAGAAACACCTTCTTGGAAGGTACGACTGGAGCCCTAGGGAATGTATCAGTGTAGGTAAAGAATGGTATCAAACAATGACAAACACTGCATTGATTGTATATAACGGATTGCTGATCTGATCTATCCAGACTTCCCCCGTTTCCCACGCCCAAAACTCGGCTCCTCCTGGCAGAAGAAGCTCAGGAAATCGCGCCCGGCGAGGCCCTCGCCAGTCATGCCCTGGCCATCGGTGGTCATCCATGAAACATAGCGAAACCATCCCAAACACTCCCAGCATCCTCCAACAGGTCTTCTCTAGAGGGTGGTTAGGCCTTAACAGGTCTCAATTGGTGACCTGTTGGAGGCATCTATGCCTCCGGTGACGCCCTAAACCACCCCCGTCTTGCTGCTCAGACGAACCCACAGGGGCCACCAAGAGAACGGCAGTTCGCCCCAAAAAGACGACCTAAAACAGGTGACGCCCCTGTGAGTGCCATCCACTTCCATGATTCTTCAGGTGGCGACCCTGGCTGTCTGGAATGGCCACCGAAGTGGAGAAAAAGACACATGAGGTGACAGTATAGCTACAGCCTAGAAAACCAAACAACCAGAAGCAAATGGTTGTTCCAATATGGCAACTGAGATCCTTTACATGACAAGTGGTTCGGAATGGCGAAGCATCCGATTGTTTTTGGTTGTTTGGGTTTCCAGCAGTGAACAATGCCACAAGTCAAACGGTTGCATCGGGGGAGGTCAAGATATATGAACAAGCATCCCACCAGCACCTCCCTCTTCTGAACCGCCAAAGAGGGGTCCGTATGGGAAACGAGACATCCACAAAGGGCTCGTAGGTTGCCAATACATCCAACGACTTCATCAAACTCATTCCATCCTAATACAGTAAGTATCCGTGGGCCATTCTCGAATTTCTCCTTTGATGCCAGCCTCGCCCTGGTTGTGCAGGAGAAGAGTGCTCAGCTGTCGAGAGTCCTGCCGAAGGACCCATTCAGATCCAAAGAAGGGAGTCATTCGAACCGCTTCCACCGGGTTTCCTCAGCTGCCTTCGAACGCTTCCACAGGTTAGGAGCTAAGAAGAGCTCACGGAGTGCACTTAGTATTTTAGTTGCAACAGAAACTTACAGTGGAAATGAGAGCACATGGCACGAACCCAAGGGTGTTTGTGGAATCAACCAGGTTCCACTGGCCAATGGGGGTGTTCAATGGTAGATCTTGGGAGCAATGACCCACGAGGATAGCTGACCCACGAGCTTTCGTCAAAGACCCTGAAGACATCTGAAGTACTACTCAGTGTACTACTCCTTGTGGATCAATGCAGTTGAAGGAACAATGTCTTTGCACCTCATTTCGAAAGGCATACTTTGCTACATTCCCTATATGGATCCCTTGGTGGGTAGATCCGGCAGCTCATCCCAGCTTGGCCCTGAGCTACGGTGAGGACGGAGGCATTTGTGTGGCGGGTTTGGAGGGTGCAGTCGCACCTTCTGAGAAGGTGGCAGTGGATCCATACGGATTGAAAGTTAAAGGATCCTCTATGAATACCCACCGGGCTTAGTGCTTTGGGTAGCAATCAAAATCAGTCCTTTTGAATCCTTTTGATATAAACCGCCATGCGCTATGCCTCTGTGCCTTCCAACACACCACACAGGTGCCCAAACCAAACCACAGCAGCGGCCCAAACGAAAAAAACGCGGAAAAACCCACCAGCCCAGTGCGGATTCGTCGATCCGTCGATCCAGCGACGGCACGCGCAGAGGCGCGCCTCGGTCAACTTCAAAGAGCCATCGATCCTCAGCAGGCGACGAGTTCTCGACGCTCAGTTCCACGGAACGCTGTCGTGCGGTAAAAGGCGTAAAGCCGCTGGGCGCCCGGTTCGTGGCACAGAGAGAAACAAGGACGAAACTGAACTGTGTTCCGTGGACACATAGATGAACATCTGATTCAGTGTCAAGAGCATCATTGCCCCAGCCCAACCCTCCCCACTGCGTATTGCGGACTCAAACCAACGAAAAAACACAAAAAACCGCGGGGCCGTTATGGCACCCGCCATCAATAACAACCCTTTGGGCGGTGGTGGTGGTCCCAAATAGTTCCCTTCACTTCCCTTCCTCCCTGACACTGAAACGGAGCAAGGCGTCTCCACCACTGCATCGCAAAAACCTGCCGGACATCAAACGAGGAAGACAACGAGCGTTGGTGGCCTACTAACTACCAAGGCTGCCACATGCGGATGGTTTTAAGCTGCAGCCCCAAAATGTTGTATTCTTCTTCGGATGAAATGCACTATCTATAAACTGTAGGGATCCACTGCCACCTTCTCAGAAGGTACGACTGGACTGGACTCTAACCTGCCAAACAAGTGCCTCCGTCCTCACCGTACCTCAGGTTCGGTCTGTGGATCCATATAGGGATATCGTAGTGTCAGTTTCAAAGGAAGGTCCTACCGCCTACCGGGCCATGCGTACGATGCGCAGTAGTTGGAGCCTAAAAGGAGCTGGCTCACGGCTTCCAAGTCAATGCTGCGACTCTTTAAGCGAGTGTTCATCAGCACATTCCTTAGAGACGTTCGCCGTACCCTACTGCTGCGTGGGGCCATTGTGAGGACGGCAGAGAAAAAAAAAAAAAAAACACACACACCAAAAAAGGATCAAAAGGCAAATGGAAAAAAACAAACAACATGTGCCCAATATAAAAAACTGTCCCCCAAAAACATCCGTTACATGTGCCCACTTGTTATAAACGCTTAGCAACAAAAACCCTTGCGACACATTGTTGCCTCGGAGGCTTGCAATAGGCTCATGCATCTATGGGCTCTGGCCAACCAGTACTTCTAGTCAGCCTGGCCCCTGTGGTTTGAGTTGTGAAGAACAAGGATCCTTCCTAAACCCTAAACTGCTTTTGGAGAAGAACATCCCCCCACTGCAGGATTCGACGATGGAGCAGGGCGCCTCACATCACATCCGCGACAACGGACCGACCAAAAGCACCCAACTCGATGAAGCACGAGTTGGAACACCAGTTGGGTCCAGTTGGGCTTCAGTTGGGTCCAGCCATGTCTTTCTTCGATGACCCACCTGTCGTCTTCAAACGTGACGTGTCACTCTTCAACGTGTCACCTGGCCATGCCAGGTCCTCGTGCATTTCCGTCACCATCAATCCACGGGCCACCGCAACCAAGCAAGGCTCTCGTAGAGACCCTGACGCATAGAGAGAATCCCACAAAGGACCATGCAAAGCCTGGCGTCGATGGCGTCGATCTCACAGGCGAAGGCACATCGGATTGCTTGCGTCCCCAAGAGGCCGTGTCGTCTTCTGCCTTCGGGGTGCCCGAACGCAATCGATTCTCTTTTTCAGAATCCAATATGTGTTGAGAAACAACAGAAAGACACCTCCCTAAGAATCAAGGACCCTCAAAGGTGAAGGTTTTGAGGGTCCAAACCCCTGCTATGCGGGCTTAGAATCATGGGCCAAATAAAAGAAACAATCTTCAGGATCC